TTGAGGGAGGAGTCCTAAGCCTTGCAAGAACCCAAGGTGAGGACTCTAAGTGAGGAGTGAAAACCCTGTATAGGTCTGGTAAGGATCCTGCATAGGTCTGCCATTGTCATCACCCTAGGTAGGTGTGCTCAAATGAGGTTCCCCACCTCCCTCAGTTTCTCCTCTAGGATGTCATGGAGCTGAAGGCTTTGGAATCCTCATTCCAAAGGTCAACATCTAAGCAGCTGAGCAGAGAAACCTCAGGTCCTACCAGAGGTCAAAGTAACGGCACCAGATGGGAAATGAGGGAAACACCAACTTCTCTAGCACAGGAAGGCTCCACAGGGGCCTGCACATGCCAAACTCTGAATTAGTTCCTGTAAGACCCAGGTAGGGCTGGAGAGCTACAGCCTAAAGTGAAATCCAGAGTCTCAGGAGAAAGACTGATCAGAGAAGAGGAGTCTTATGGGTCCCTTGAGCAGTGCCTTCAAGGAAACCTGCAGAAACAGTCATTGATAAAGCCCAAGTTGTTACGTCCCTGCTAAAAAGGGTGTCACACAGTTTCACTTCCTTTTCTCCAGGTCACCAGATCATCCACCCTCTTTACCACATTCTGCCTGCTGTCCCTGACTGAAGACATTCATGCTGTGGGTCAGAAGAGTGAAGTTTTGTGCTTGTGAAAACTATTACCAGATGCAAGATGAGCCCGAGGATCTGATGGGTGCTCAGGGCACTGTACCAGAGGAAGAGGTGCCTCCTTCCCTCCCCCACCATCTCTTTTTAAATATATTCGCAGAACACACCTACCATGGGAACACCTAGCCATGCTCAGGAACACCTAGCCATGCTCAGGTGCCTGGGAGGGTCCTCTCCACTACCACTGCAGCTATTTCAATCACAAGATCTAATGAAGGCACCAGGAATCAAGTAGAGGAAAGACCAAATATCTCACAGGTGTGTGGTATCACTGAGCACTGGCATAGATGCCCTATAGACAGAAGGTTGCTATGCTGGCATATTACCTTGCATACAAAGATAAGTGAAAAGCCCATTACAAAGGTAGACATGCTGAGAACATTATCCAAATATATAAAAACCATGTCCATGAAATCCTCAAGAGAGCCTCTGAGCACAGGGAGCTGGACTTTGACCTTGACATGAACAGATTCTAACAGGAACACCTATGTCCTTCTGGATAAACAGACTAAGGCACCATGCAAGCGTGAATGATACAGAGGTCTTTCTAAGATCAGCTTGCTCATGACTGTTCTGAGCACAGTCTTTACCAAGAGCAACTGTGCGAGGAGGGCGGAATACAGTGGAGTCACATGTTGGGGGACATTCTTCATCTATGGGGAGCCCAGGAAGCTCACCAGCAAACGTTTGATGAAAGAAAATGACCCAGGGTACCACCAGGTACTCAACAGTGATCCTCCAAGTTTTGAATCCCTGTGGGGTCCAAGAGCCCAAACAGCAATCAGCAAGATGAAGGTTCTGGATTATTTTGTTTGGACAAGACCCATGATATGGCTCGCAGTGCCTGCCCACCAGATTATGAAGAGGCTTTGTGAGATGGGAAAGAGAGAGCCGAGCTAGAGTTGCAGCCGGGGCTTTGGCTGCTGCCACGGCCAGTGCATATTCCAGGACCCTGGCCAGCGGACTTTCCTGCATTGAGAAAAGGCTGAGGAAGATTATTTGCAATGTGTTTGAAGGGCACTTAATGTTCCTATTAGTGGAAGGTCAGGGTGGGTCTGGAGACAGCTGAGGGTATAACATGTTTATGTTTCTGCTTCATGTAATAACTTGGATCTTTCTCTCAACGTTGCTCCCTTTAATATAAGTTTTCAGAATCAGAGTTTATGAGTAATATTAAATCACAAGTTAATTGATATTCATGGAACTTCAGAGTTTTACTATTTTATAGAACAAATGGTGCGTTTTTTCCATCTTATTTACTTATTGGGGACAAGATAATAGTGTGGGTATTTATTGGAAGTAAAAAAAAAAAAAAACTCAGCAGTAAAATAGTTAGGATCAAGAAAGAGAGAAAAAGGCAAATGATGATAAATTTTGCATCCCCTTACCACTTTTTGTCTGTTGGTCTGTAAAACTAAGAGATATAATTTGAATGTGCTTAGTTCACTCAAGAAAGGGCAATTTCATGTAATAAATTACGCCTCTTGCACACGGTCTTATCCTGCAGTGTCCATATCTTGGTGCCGTTGAGCAGAACACAGCAATATGTATATTATCCTCAGGGAGTGTCTGAAAAATAGGGGTGCTACTCACATGACATGGCATGTTCAGAAGTCACTGTGCTATCAATCTTTACTGTGACACGGGAAGAACAGAGCAGCATTCCAGCTCCTTGCAGATGTCCCGTCTGTCCCACCCCTGACCACCGAACCCCTCTGATAGCAACTGCCCTGTCGATGTGACTGTGGACCTTGGCAGTGAAGCTTAGGCATCTGCTCCTCTGCCCTGGGCACTTCCACCACACTCTCAAAGGTCCAAATCGGCTCATGAGCAGAGTCTGCTTTGGCACAGGAGCTACTGGTTCTTGAAAGGGAACTCTGAATTTGGAGAGGAGGTTTTAGAAAGCAGATGAGACTAGTAACAAAGGAGAATTTAATCTGGTGAAGTAATTTGAGATTGGCCACTGACTCCATCCAGTGATCACTAAGCTTGATTATGTGGTTGAGAACCAAATACTCCCTCCCAGGTGGTAGATGAGAAATCCAGTATCTATAGAAGCTGGATTCCTGAAAACTCTGGTGTCCTTCCAGGAGGATGAAGTATTTTTCTATTGCCGACATAACAAGTTGCCATAAATTAAGGAACTTAGAACAACATAGATCATTATCTCCATTTCTGCAGGTGATGAATATGAGTTGGTTGTGCTGTTTTCTTTGATCAGGGTTACACAAAGCCCAGATCAAGCTGTCAAAATGTGGGATCTTACCAGGGAGAAATGTATTCCGCACTTACTCAGTTTGTTCCCAAAACCAAATTCTATGATTTACTTATTTGCAATTACAAGAGTGAAGTCCTGTTTTCTTTCTGAATGTCCACTGAAGCTGCCATAAATGCTCCAGGACTCCCTCCACTCCCTATAAGTGGACCCCCTACTTCAGAAACAGCAGATAGACTCTGTATGGTGTAGAAACTCTCCTACATTCCCCTCTGCTGCATCTGTCTTTCACCTGCAGCCAAAGTTTATGCTTGTAAGGGATCATGTCTTAAGATTGGGTACCCAGATAATTCTGTATAATCTCCCTATTTTAACATCCATTGCATCATTTTAATTGCATATGTAAAGTCCCTTTGAATATGCAACAACAGATTCACAAGTTTCAGGAGTAATGATATGGCCATTTTTGTGGCGTTATTATTCCATTTACTGTAGAGATAGAAAATATATCTTTAGCAGAAGTGGTGAATTTGATAAGAAGAAAAAAATAGTTCAGCACCATTTTCCTGACTCTTGTCTATATCTTCCCCTTAGGGAAATCCTGGTTTTTCAGTGTTCAGCGTTCAGTTATGTTTAACAGGTGATAGGTAGCAGAGACTCACAAGTTGTCATTTTGCCCAGGTAGTGAAAAGAAGAAAATTCTCAGTGTATTGAGATGAGAAAGGTGATTGAAAAAGTCAGTGTAGAAGGAGGCTATTGAATGATGAAGGGTGAACCTTCCCTGTTGAGACTTTCAAGATCGTTTTGAAAATTGGCGTGATCTTATATTTTTAAACACCAGTCACATATGGGTACTAGAAAAAGTGGTTTAATTGCAAGGAAATATGATCTTACCATAAATGAAGAATGTTAATAGCATTAAAAATTAATTGTTGCTCATTTTTGAGCATAATAGCTAATGGGAAATTCTGCAAGTGCTCATACACTTTGTGCATTGCTCTACAATGCTATCTTGGTTCATACAAAGACTACCTGCCAGCCCACTTGCTGGGAAGGGACTTGTAACTATATTTCATTCTAAAATATTAGTAGAAGCATGCTTGTGACCTCCAGATCAAAGTATAGGAGAGAACAATTGAGCTACTGCTATGCTTTTTGTTTTATTCATCAGCCAAGATGGCGCATCTGTGTAGGGATGTGGAAGCACTTGATGGGAAGCAGACTAGGTCCCTGAGTCACCTGACAATGGAGACCACCTACCTAACCCCATCAGGTTTTATGTGCATATGAAATACAACTTTGTTAGATCATTCAAAAATCAAACTTTTCCTATCACAGCTCATAAATACTTTGTCTGAGTAAAGAAAAGCTACTATCTCTATTGTTAGTCTTTTTAAAATATATTAATTACAAAAACAATAGGGCATATATTCTTGTTGCCACAAAAATAAAATATTCTAATAGGGATAAACCACAATTCTGTTTCTTTACTACGTTCCTCCAAAATGCATGACTCTCCAGAGGAAGGTGTGCTTAAATTGGGGGTGACATTCATGTGCAGAGTCCAAAACTCTTTATTGTCGTTATGAAACCTATTTGATTAAACTGTAATATAAAATGGAAAGAAAAGATTCTGTATGAGCCATTCCCAAAGTTATGACATGATCTACATTAAAATTGATATCACTTTTCTGAAGCCTGCAAAGGGATGAGAACCACATCATTCGACATAAAATTTGAAGAATCTGAGGGTGTTGTGAGGAAACCACCTAACCCATAAAAGAGTGGATCGTCACAGACCCTTCTCCTCTATACGTACTTCTGAGCCCATGTTTGGGTATTAGACACCAGGACTCCTTCAATACACTCCTTGGCAACTGGTAACGTGAAGCTAAGGGGTGGAATGCTTAATGGCAAAGGTCTTGACTTAAGGCTGGCTGACTAAGATCAGGAGAGGGACAAGTGTCAGGTTTGCCAGCATTCAATGGAAGATCCATGTGTGAGTTCTGCCAGTCCTCTATTGGCACAAACCATCTTTCTCTCCACCACCTCCAAGAGACACACCCCTCTTCTTAGCCACAAATGGGAGTGGCCGGAAGTGGGTTCCCCCAACTTCCGGCTATGACTTATGACACTAGCAGGCAAAGGTTCTCGGTGGTGTGAGGCAAACCGAGGAGAGTTCTGAGGAAGAGTTTCAGGTAAAGACTCTGAGCAAATTTTGAGGGCACCCGCTAACAAAGAACAAGGAGGGTCGGGCGACAAAATTCTGTCACTTATAGAAGCCCAGGGGAGCCCTGGGAAGGGATCATCTGATATAGAACCCTTTGAATACCTCCTCGTTCAGTGAGGAAAAATGGCGGCACTGGACCTGGGTGTGACAACAGGTGCTTAAGCAGTATAGTTGAGAATTAGTGTACGGTCTGAGGGAACCAGATAATAGGTGCCCCTTTGAACCAGGCCTCTGGCCTCAGACCTGGGAGCCCCCTTATGTCGGCAGCACACGATAACTTTATAAAAGTCCCTGTGTCTGAGGGAGGTGAAGGAATTGGTACAGAGAACCCTGTATAATGTGGCCAACAGTAGGCGGCCCCGCCCCTGCCAGGACGTAAGAGAAATACCCTTTCTGAGGTATGAGGGTACCTGAAAGGCAGCGAGAGGGGGTCCCACAGAGTCCCATCACTGCAATGAGCGGTCCTGGGTCCTGGGCAAGGAACCGCCGATGTAGCGCCCTCTGAGTTCTTTGGTTTGAAGATTCAAAGAGGGAAAGATATCGGACCAGGGTTGTGGAACACCGGCCAGCAGACACAAGAGTCCCGGGTCCTAAACAGACAGAAGGGTAAGGACCTGGAGTGAGGTCTGAGGGAAAGACTCATCCCACAAGAGGCCAGAGCAGAGTCCCAACATTGCTATCAGCCCAGGGAGGGCTGAAGTGAGAGTGGCTAGACGTAAAACATACTGAAATTCACGCCTGGCTTATGAAAAAGTGAGCGGCTTTAGGGGTGATATGGGGGCTGGGGGAATTACTTTAAGTCATCAAAGAACTACTTCCAGGCTCTGCTAAGAGGTAATGTAAGGACCGTGAATTAAGTTTTAATGGTCACCCTGCCCCAAAATAGAAGGGATGCACAGAGTCCTGGTGGGCCCTGCAGAGGAATCACCTGATCAAGAACCCACTGAATTTTCCCTGTAAAACAGGGAAATTAGAAAATTAATAAGGACAACTAACTTTACTATGTCTTGAGGGAACCATGGACTCCATCTCAAAGGGGACCTGCAGAGAGTTCCTGCCATCCTCCAGCATCAGCCAGATTGTGGCTGAAGCCGCCCTAACTCCTTTCTCAGGGATCCAGGTAAAGGAGGAGGGGCTTGTTCTTAGGGCACAGGTCCTAGATCAGCAGAGACTAGAGTTCCAGGTGCTATTGGCAGCCAAGTTCAGGACCCTGAGTAAGGAGTGAGGATGCTGACTGAGGAGTGAGAATCCTTATTACACCAGGATGGAAAGGGTCCCTCAAAGCTCTTCTATGAAGGTTATCTTAGGTGTCCCTGGGAAGATATGGTCAGATGAGGTTTTTCAGCTTCTCTTCTGGAATTAAAGGGAGATGATGTCATTGAAATGAGAATTCACCATAAAAGCAGTAGGGAAGAGGGATTCCAAAAGCTTCCAGAGTCAAGGTTATGGTTCTGAGAGTGAACTGAGAGAAACATGACCTACCCAAACAGAGGGAACTCCACAGAGCCTGGTCCTTGCAGGTGTTACGTCACCCCAGTAGGACCCGGAATAAAAGCCTAAAGTATACCTTTTAATTACTTTCACATTTAATAGGAGAACAAGAATCTTGTAGCTTCCTAAAGCAATGCACATAAGAAAACCTGAAGAAGTAGCCATCCGTAACACCAAGGTGGTATCTCTCTGAGGAAGGGGAAGACATTAACATTTGTTTTTTTTTTTTTCTTTTTCAGGAAGTTACTAATGACAATCTGATGTGGACATTTGTTTTTTTTTTTCCTCAGATTTTATCACTTTGTCAGTCGTTTACATAACTGTATCACACCATTTTACCCTGTTTCCTCCAGATCACTGATTCACCTTGCTGTTTATCTGTTGTACCAGACCAGAGTCTCCATGCCTCGGGGACAGAAGAGTAAGCTCCGTGCCCGGGAGAAACGCCGCCAGGCTCAGGAAGAGCAGGGGGATCTGGTGGGTGTTCAACCCTCTGCAGGAGTGGGAGAAGTGGGAGAGGTGTTCCATACCCGTTTTTCTCCTGTTGGTGTTTTCCCCAGAACTCACCTACTGCTGGGTTATGTTGAAATTCACAGAGTCCTCAGGAAGGCACATCCATGGGCACTACTGCTGCAGCTGCTTCAGAGGAGACATCTGATGTGGGCACTAGCTTCCAAGAAGGTGGTTCAAGATCCTCACAGAACCCACCAGTTACCGAGCCCTTCCGCAGAGGCCCTATAGATGAGAAGGTGGTTATGATGGTGCATTACATGCTGTACAAGTATGAGATGAAAGAGCCCATTAGCAAGGGGGATATGCTGAGAAATGTAATCCAGATGTACAAGAATCACTTCCATGAGATTCTCAGGAGAGCTTCTGAGTATCTAGAGCTGATCTTTGGGCTTGATCTCAAGGAAGTGGATCCCAACAGGCACATCTATGTCCTTGTCAACAAATTAGAAACAACCTATGATGGGATGCCTGGTGGTGAAGGAAGTATACCCAAGACAGGTCTGCTGATGACTGTCCTGGGTGTCATCTTCACCAAGGGCAACTGTGCCTCTGAGGCAGAGGTCTGGGAAGTCCTCAATATGATGGGGATATATGATGGGAGGAGACACTTCATTTATGGGGAGCCCAGAAAGCTCATCACCCAAGATTTGGTGCAGGAAAATTACCTAGAGTACCGCCAGGTGGCTGGCAGTGATCCACCATGTTATGAGTTTTTGTGGGGCCCAAGGGCCCACGCTGAAACCAGTAAGATGAAAGTCCTGGAGTTTTTGGCAAAAATCCATGATACCACTCCTAGTGCTTTCCCAGTCTGGTATCAAGAAGCTCTGAAAGATGAGGAAGAGAGATCCCAAGCCAGAGCTGCAGCCAGGGCTCGTAATGCTGCCAGAGCGGATGCTCGTGCCAAGGCCAAGGGCAGCAACTCCTCCCGTCACTTTAATAAATTCTGAGGCACATTCATCACTATTGCTAAAAAGTTCATTTGCTCATTAGTAGAAGGTCAGGGTGGGGCTGAATAAACACAGTATTTACCATGTTGTGTTCCATTTAAGTAAAGTGTCCTCTAAGTTATATATATATATATATATATATATATATATGTTAAGTAATGAGTTTTAAATTGTTCTTTTAATAGAAAGTTTCTGTTAGTTTCCAAATTCTACTTTGTGAATGACATTGATCAAATTTTTGCTGTGTATGAGATTTAAGAGTAGGAGATTATTATTCTAAACCAAATTAGGAAACTCTCCATCTTTTTTCTGATTTGCAACAAGATAATATGCCAATGGCATTGCCTTGGAAATGTAAAAGAATTCAGCAGTAAAATAGTTGGCATCAAGGCATAGAGGAAAAAAAATGTAAGAGATTGCCAAATGATGCATTCTGTAATGACTTTTATTCTGTTGTTTAAAATTAAATAACATATGACTGGATATATGTAGATTATCCAAGAATGTAAAATTAATTACCTAATAAATTACACATCTTACAGACTGTCTCATTTATTTTTCAAATATTCCTTGAGCACCTGTTCTTTGGAAGGTTCTGTGATAGTACTGGGAATAGCAGGATAAAAGAACCAGTGAACCCATAGAATTTGAGAGTCCAGGAGCAGCTGTTACATCAGAAAGATGTGAGATACATCCTAAGACCTAAGGGCAAGTCAAAAGAAGAAAGAGGACATGGGAGGATTCAGATGAGAGCAAGTATAAATGCCCTGAGGCAAGAAGGTTTGGGGTACTGGGGAATTGCAAGTCCTTCAACGTGAGTCAAAGTCAAGCTGGGGGCCTCCTGGTGGTGCAGAGGTTAAAGTCACAGCATTATGAAGCTATCTCCAGCCTCTGTGGTATGAGTTCAATCCCCTGGCCAGGGAGCTGACCCACATGGCACAGCACACCTCTCCTGTCTCGCTCACTGCTCCCCTCAGCAGTGTATTTCAGTGGATCTGCCTGTTCTGCTCCCCACTCTGGTGAATCCTCTCATCTCCCCCACACCTCTGGCCTACATCCCAGTTTTTGTATGCATAAATAAATCTTTAAAAAATAAACAACAAAGTTAAGGTGGTATTAAGGTTTGAGAGTGATGGACAGGGGCCAGATCCTTAGGTTTTTCCTCAAACCTGGAATGAGAAGCTGCTTCTATAGCAGCTACTTTGGGGTCATGGATAGACCTAAAAGAAATCTCTTCCTGAGGTGTCTTGGGCTTTTGTCCCAGTGCAGTTGAATATAGTCTAAAAATTAGATATTTTACACACCTGTCTCCAGAGAGTCTCTTAGAAATAAGGGGGTTATTGTCTTAATATAGGAGGCTCAGAAGCCAGTGTGCTGGCATCTTTGCCTTAGGCTGGCAGGTAGAGCTCACTGTGTTCATAAGGTTTTTCAAATTTTGGTTATCTTGAGTGCAATTTGGAAAACTGAAAGTGAGGAATAAATATTTTGATGAGAGTGAAACAGGTAGTTTCTATGAGCCTTCTGTGCATCTAGCTGGGGAAAACTTTCCAATCTTACAAGAAATATCTTCAAAATATTACATAGCAAGTAACATTAGGTTACTTGCATCCTGACAGCTGACTTGGTGTGCTATATATTCTAGAGGACTGTATTCTCTCATATTTCTGAGATAAAGATAAATTTTATTTTTTTATTTGGGTAACATTGGTTTAGAACACTATATGATTCAGGGAAATAGGTTCACACCTCAGATGCATGTTACCACACCATGCCCCCACACCAAAGCACCCATGGTCCATTACCATAGACCATTCTGTGATGGAAGGTTGGTGGGGTTGGAATCAAATTATAATAGTAACTGCCATTACCATAAGTTAATAATTGCCAGCTAGGAGCCTTACATAAATTAGTTACATCTCAACAGTCCGAGTTCACAAGGTATGCACAAACCAGGGCACAAGATGACAATTAATCTGCTGGTAGGTTGGCTGATTTGGCACAGAATCTACCAGCTATAATAATCTGAAACAGACATAAATCATAAATTTAGGAGGTTTTAGGAAACAGATGCAGTTATAAAGGATGGAAAACTTAGACTCCATATACTGATGTGTGAGCTTAATTAAGTGGTCAAGAAAGAAAGCCTCCCTCCTAGGTGGTGGATGAAGAAGGACCCAAGAAATCCCTGTGTAGTGGTATCTGCAGAGGTTGAAATCTGAAAAACCCAGTAGTCTTTTTAGGAAGTTATAGTAGTTTTCTATGCTTGCCTTGACAAATTACCACAAATTTAGTGGTTTACAACAGCGCATATTTATTATCTCCATAGGTATCATTATCTCCATTTCTGTTGGTGTGAAGGCATGGATGGCTCTGCTAGATTCTGCGCTTGGATTTTCACAAAGCACAAATCAAATCTTGAGGAGGCAGGCATTTTATCATAAGCTTTGGGAAGAATATCCTACCAAAATCATTCAGGTTGTTGCCAAAATTCAGTTCTTTAAGGTTATAAGACTAAGGCCCGTTTTCCCTAATAACTGTCAACTGAAGCTGCCATAGTTTCCCCAGACCTCTCTCCAGTATTTGCACGCAGGCCCCTATATTTTTGAGTAAGCAATTAAACACAAAATCCTTCTACTTGGTATCTTTAACTCCCCTTCTGCTTCATCTCTCCTCTGCTTCAGCAGGAGAAAGATACCTGCTTGCAAGGGCCCATGATATTAAATGGAACCCACCTGGTATAACAATTTTGTTTTATCAGAAACTTTTGTAAATATGAAAGGGCCTTTTGTTGTACAGATTTTAAATGTTGCACTTCATCTCCTGCCCTGCGAAAGTTTATGGAGGACCACAAGTGCTCATCTGCATGGTATCTTGCTCTCCTTCCTGGGCACCTGGGAATAGCACATTGCCCAGCCCACCTGTAGTGAGAAAGCATCTAATAACAACCCTTGCTTCTGAAATAAGAACAGAGAAATGTCAACTCCAGACCAAGTCAGCTTAGAGTCAATATGTCACTTCTATGCTTCCTGTCCCATTCAGCAGAAATAAACAGATCCTGTGTTAATATGTGAATCCATAGGGTAGGAGCATCCTGGATCTCTGGGTCATTAGATTGTACTGACCACCTGCCAATATCAGGTCTATCACTACAAGAAATAGATTTTTGTAATGTTAAGCCATTAAGATTTCACCCTTCTTCCACTACATCTACCAGCAGTTACTTTATCTGAGTAACACACAGCTACTATTTCTGTTGTTAGTCTTGCTGGAATATACTTATTGCAAAAGAAACAGTGCATATATTCTTGATGCTAAAAAATTCTAAAGTAGGGCCTCCCTGGTGGCGCAGCGGTTGAGCGCTGGGTTGCGAAGCTGCCCGCAGCTTCTGCAGCGCCGGTTCGATCCCCGGCCACCTGTGAGGGTCCCACATGGCGGGCAGACCTCTCCTGCCGCCCACTGTTCCCCTCAGCAGTGTACTTCGGTCCTTCTGCCTGCTCTGCTCCCCGCTCTGGCTCTGGTGAATTCTCTCACCCTCCCGCGCTTCTGACTGTGCCCACTGCTTGTGTAAATAGATAATTAATCTTTAAAAAAAAAAAGAAAGCAGTATCACATAATTATAAAAAAAAAATTCTAAAGTAAAGATAAACCACAATTCTGCCTCCTTATTACAGTCCTCTAATGTTTAGCTCCTAGAATTAACCACCAATAAAAACCTTGTTTATGTTTAAGTTTATTCTAGACTTTTTCTTACATACATGTGCTAGAAAAATACACTGTTGGTAGGACACCTTTAAAATGTGCCTAGTCGCAGCAGACCTCTCCTGACTCCCCCAATGCGCCCCTCAGCAGTGTATTTCAATCAGTCTGCCTGTTCTTTTCCCCCTCTGTCTCTGGTGAGTCCTCGCACCCCACACACCTCTGGCCTGTACCCCAGTTCTAGTATGCATAAATATTTAAAAAAATAAAATGTGCCTAGTGACCACAATGAGATAAACTCACCAGGTAGCACAACATGGGGAAGGTCACATTCTTACTCCAGCTTACCAGCAATTTCTATCACTACCTCTTCCACACTGCACCTCATTTGTGAACAATATTCTTTGTCAGTCTTGCTAGATTAGATCAGAAATTCCTGGATCATTTTTGGACTTCCCTCCTTCTATCTGCACTCCCAATGCTATATGTCATAGTTTTTTTTTTTTATTTTTTAAAAGACTTATTTATTTATGCATACAAGAGCTGCGGTATGGGCCAGAGATGGGGGGGGGTGAGAGAATTCACCAGAAACAGAGTGGGGAACAGAACAGGCAGATTGACTGGAATACACTGCTGAGGGGAGCAGCGGGTGAGTCAGGAGAGGTCTCTTGTGCCATGTGGGCTGCTCCCTGGCTGGTCAGGGATCGAACTCGTGCTGCAGAGGCTGCACATTGCTTCACAGTGCTGTGCTCAACCCCTTGTGCCACCGGGAGGCCCTGTCATAATTTTTTAATAGGCATGGACTGAGTGAAATAGTAGGGTGTGGAAGCAGAAAGCAGGAAGGGATGTTCAGTTGGGTAGAAACACAGCTTCTCTCATGGGAAAACACGAACCACAGGTTTTTCAGTGGGGGTCCAGAAGGCATGAAAGTCATAACATGGGACCTCCCCAGTGGCGCAAGGGGTTAAGTCTCAACACTATGAAGCTATCCACAGCCACTCTAGCATGAGTTCGATCCCTGGCCAGGGAGCTGATCTGCATGGCGCAGCAGACCCCTCCTGTCTCACCCACTGCTCCCCTCAGCAGTGTATTTCAGTCAATCTGCCTGTTCTGTTCCCTACTCTGTCTCTGGTGAATCCTCTAACACCTGTACCTCTGACCTATACCCAGTTCTTGTATTATAAATAAATAAATGTTTTTTAAAAAAACCTTTTAAAAAAAGAAACATAATAAAACATGGACATCTTCCTGGAATACAATATCATACCCTGGAATCGAACACTGAAATACACTGACATATCATTTACTCAGTGCTACTACATGCCATTGCCTTTTCTCTGACCTAATCATTTTATCTATTCATTTTTATCTAATTATCATTTTCTCTATTATGCCCTACTATGTAAAGACAGTTTTTAATCCCTATTTTTCAGATGAGGAAATTGAGATACAGAGAATTTATTGAAGCTGGAAGGGCAGAATGAAAAAAAAATACGCTATGGGTTTTAAAAATATGTATATAACAATGTACTTAATGTTCTGCCTCTATCTTCTGTCACATAATGGAATGAAAGCAGGATCTTCTGTGAGAGCACATGTAGATGCACATCTCTCTTTTAACTACTTCCCAGAATTCTAGTGTGTATGTGTCACACATGTTACACATAATTCTCCCTGACAGACATTTTGTTTTACATTTGTTATTTTAATTAGTAGAACTAACATTGAATATGTTTCTGGAGCAAATGAGGAAGTTTTATTATAGGAATGAGGTGCAAACTGGGTTAAAGTGGAAAGAGTGTGATAACTGTCAATTTTTTTTTTTTTAAGAATTCTGATGTTCTATTCCAATAAGGCTGCACCAAGTCTTATACTCACAATTTATCTGAGTGCCCTACACTCCCATAGGTATTTAATTACATCAATTTTAAAGTTGGGTTAATTTTTTTGCTGAAATGATCTCAATTTCATTTTAATTTGTATTTCCCTGTTTTATAATTAATGAGAAGAAAAACAACATAACCTCTCACTCATATGAAGCAGGATTTCTGCAGTGATAGCCTAATTACAGGATACTTCTGGGTACACATATGTTCTGAGTGTGGACGTGACTTGAAAAGCAGTTCAGATCTTATTCCCAGCTCAGATCACCTCCTATGGTTCATGACTTCTTTGTGCACCAAAGAGCAGATGTACTTGGGCTGTTTGGTGACCTATGTTGCTATCAGATACTAACCATATTAGGGGACTGGCCCCTGATTCAAATATTTACAGGGTGTATGGAAAACCATGGTAATTGGTATACTTCCTTTTTAAATTGACTGAAGGTGACAAATATGCGTGCAGTCCAAAGCTCTATTTTTTTTTTATTGTGATAACTCCAACTTGACTGAATTTTAAAATATTTTTTGCTAGCCATTCCCATGATTACTATATAAATTTCTTCACCTCTATGTCTGAATAAACCTCACTTGATCCACCACCATATTTCTAGTGTCAATTACACTATCAAATATCAAATACCTAAAACTTTAATGTGAGGGCAGTGGACCAGCTCGTAAGAAGGGAGACAGCAGATGGAGGAATCCCAGGCTCTAACAGAAGTAAAGTTGAGGAGGTATCTGTGTGAAATCAGAGGGAACTATCCGGCCGGGAACAGAAGGTGCCACTTTCTGTTGTCAGCCTTTGGAATCTCCAGAAATAGATGACTAGAAATGGATTTGGCGTCCCCCTGAATTCTGTCCCTGTTGTCTCAGGAATGTGAACACTTTGATCTAAGGTGGGTGAAGCCAGGTCAGAGGGAAGAGTTCCAATCACTGCCTGGGATTTAATTAAGGGCCCCAAAAGAGTTTGAATGCACCCATCCCAGAGCAGATGAGAACTGACCACACAAAGGCCCTCCCTGCTTGCAGTTGGGGCAGGCCCTGTGCAGGAGCTGCCTGAAGTAGTGCCCTCACACTCTTCCCTTTAGGGATTCAGGCAGTTGGGAGCATTTCATCTGGCTTCAGGGCCACAGAGGATGGAGCCCCAGGCACTAACAGAAGTAAAGGTGAGGCTTCTGACCTCTGAGGGAGTATCCCCCACCCCCCAAGAATGGATAGGAGTATCCCCCACCCCCCAAGAATCCATATCCTGCTATTAGATCTAGCAGGACCCATTATTAGATAGCATTCCTATCCATATCCTGCTATTAGATCTAGCAGGACCCATTATGGCTGTGAAGCTTAATAGCTCCTTCAGTTTCCAATGACATCCGGAGGGCTTTCTTTTCAGCCTAGTTACCCAAAGGGAGAATATCCAAGACCACAAGGAATTTTTTTTAAAGCCCCTATGTGAATTCCAAGGAAAGTTCCCACCCACCATCAGATTAAAGTAAACCTCACAGAATCCGACCCCTCTGCCAGCCCTGACAGACCTCAGGCAAAATTAGTGCAAAAGTGGTGTACTCCATTACCACTTAAGATCTGAGGGAATTAAACGTATTGGTCTGAAGGGAGTGACGTCTATCAAGTTCCCTGAGCGAAGTGCTGGCTTGGGGCTTTGCCCTCAAGTACGGTAAAGACCCCGAGTTAGAATGTGGGACCATTCATTTCAAATCAGAGAGGCTCCAGTGAGTTCTACTCTTGCTATCAGCCTAGAAAGAACTCACACAATCTCAGAGGAAGCAAGTAGGAATCCTCGGGAGTAGCGCTCTCCAAGTACAACCTCAAATGCCTGGACGGAAGCCCAGGCAGTGGAGAGCGTGATGGCTTTCAACCAGCAGGGGGACACATCAGAGGATCCGCAGTGAGGTAGGAGGGAACCAACTCCCCAAAGCATAGGGTGCCTCACAGGGCCCTGTCCCTGCTATCAGCCCTGGGAGACTCCACGTGAAAATTTAAGGACGTGACATGCCCCATTTCTGCCTCTGGTGCGCGGGAGCACGGAGGCCTCAGGTTTGTGGAGAGAGAAGCTCTACGCCCTGTCTGGAACTGAGGTAAAAACCCTGAAGTAGCTTTAAGGGGACCTACAACTTGGCACTGGAGAAGCTCCCAGAGAGGCCTGCCCCTGCCAGCAGTTGGGAGAGAATCCGCGTGGGGACTCTGTAGAAGTAGTGACCTCCTGGGACTTTGAAAATTCCGTCTGAAGGGATGGATGGGGAGGAGGGCACTGGACCAGGGTGTTGTTGGCTTCCGTCTAGCCAAAGAATGCGCCCCAATCCTAATGGGAGTAAAGGCAAGACCCCTTGATGAGTCCCTCCCCCACCTCAGAAGATGCGGTGTGGTGGACAGGGGCAGGCATTGCACAGCAGGGTAGGGCTAGGTTGAATTTATGTATTTGACCCTGATTTTTGTCTGTGGTATTTCAGGGGAAGTGAGCATCTTAGGAGGGGGAACGATGCATCAGGTCAGGAGAGAGAGCCCCAGACCCAGCAATATAGTAGAATGAGGACCCAGAATGAAGTTTTAGGGATGTGCCCATCCCAACAAAGCAGGCCTTACAAAGTACCAACAATTTTGTTATTCCTAGGGAGCCGTCGATAAGAGAGTGACGCTAAGGGAGTCTCTCACATTGTCCTTGGGCAGTCTCAGGAAGATGAAGCCTCAGACCACTTCTTGCATCCTCGCTTGGTTGCAGTGAATCTGAAGCAGATACGTTAGGCTGAGGCCTCCCTAACTTCCTTCTCAGGACATTCAGGGAGAAGAGAGGCTTGCTCTTAGATACAGGTCTTAAGTTTGCAGAGTTTAGAGTCCCAGGTCCTACCAGAAGTGAAAATAAGGACACTGATTGAGAACTGAGACATCCCAATTACCACTGGATGGAGGGGATCTCACAGAAGGAAAGGGTGCACTTTTTTCTCTAGGCCTTCCCAGCAGGTGTGGTAGAATGTAGTTCCCTGGAGTTACTCCTTTGTTGCCTCAGAGTGATGAAGACTTTGAAATGAGGGGTCATCACCAGAAGAGTAGCTTAGGGACCCCAAGGCAGAAGCAAGTCAGAAAGCAGGAGTCTTGTGGGGTATTAGAACAGGCACTGAGGCTGCAGTGGAGGCATGGCTGTGTCTCGATGTTGAAGTGGTCCAACGATTGCATCCTTGCTGCTTCAGGTCCATCTGCCTGCTGCCCGTGCCACAGTCACCATGCCTCGGGGTCAGAAAAGTAAGCTCCGTGCCTGGGAGAAATACCGCCAGGCCCAAGAAGAAGAACTGGAGGATCTGGTGAGTGTCAGGCAACAGCGAGATAATTCTGCTCCTATTCCTGTTCTAAGAGCTCACCTACTGCTGGGTTATTTTGCAATCCACAGGGTCCTGAGGAAGCCCCATCCATGGGCGCTACTGCTGCAGCTGCTTCATATGCACCATCTGATGCGGGCGCCAGCTTCCAAGAAGGTGGTTCAAGATTCTCATGGAACCCAACTGTCACTGAACCCATCCACAGAGGCCCTATAGATGAGAAGGTTTTTTTGATGGTGTATTACATGCTATACAAGTATGAAATGAAAGAGCCCATTAGCAAGGGAGATATGCTGAGAAATGTAATCCAGATGTACACCAGTCACTTCCATGAGATCCTCAGCAGAGCTTCTGAGCATATGGAGCTGATCTTTGGCCTTGACCTGAAGGAAATGGATCCCAACAGGCACATCTATGTCCTTGTCAACAAACTGCAACTAAGCCCTATGCAAGCCTGGCAGATGAGACAGGGGTGCCCAAGACTGACCTGTTGATGACAATTCTGGGCGTGATCTTCATAAGGGGTAATTGTGCCACTGAAGAGGAAATCTGGCAAATATTAAATGTGATGGGGTTATACGATGGAAGGGAACACTTCCTCTTTGGGGAGCCCAGAAAGTTCATCACTGAAGATTTGGTGGAGGAAAATTACCTAGAGTACCACCAGGTGGCTGACAGTGATCCTCCATGTTATGAGTTCCTGTGGGGCCCACGAGCCCATGTTGAAACCAGTAAGATGCAAGTCCTAGAGTTTTGGGCCAAAGTCCATGATACCACTCTTAGTACCTTCCCAGTCTGGTACGAAGCAGCTTTGAAAGATGAGGAAGAGAGAGTCCAAGCCAGAGCTGCAGCCAGGGCTAGTAATGCTGCCAGGGCAGATGCCCATGCCAAGGCAGAAGCTCGTGCCAAGGCAGATGCTTGTGCCAAGGCCAAGGGCAGCAGCTCCTCCCGATCCTTTAGGAAAGTCTGAGGCACATTCATCATTATTGTTAAAAAGAAAAGTCCATTTGCTCATTAGTAGAAGGTCATAGTGAGGCTGAAGAAATAGTATGTCATGTTTGTGCTCTTATTCAATATGTTAACTTACGTAATTTTTAAAACTGCCTTCCTTTGAATAGAAGAATATATTAGCTTAAAAATCCAAGTTTATGAATGGCATTGCTCAAATTTTTGCTGTGTATGAGATTTAATACTAAAAGTTGTATTATTTTGTAAAACAAATTAGGAAGGTTTCATTTACTAATTTGGAACAAGAAAACATTATTAGTGAATTAGACATTTCCTTGAAAATATCAAAAGACTCCACATTGTAAGAGTTTGGGGTCAAGAAATGGAGAAAAAGAAATGGAGGAAAAATAAAAGATTATAAATTGGTTTCATTTATCACTTTTAGTCTGCTGTTTTGTAACTATATATACCTGAATATATTTAGCTTATCCTAGAGTGCAGAAGAAACTGTATTGTAATAAATTAGACCTCTTTCTCTGAGGCCCACGTTTTTCTCCAAAAACAGTCAAGTATCTAGATCTCTTCAAAAAGTTCCATGTTAGCACTGAAAATGCTAAATGAACAAGAACACTCCCTGTCCATAGAATTTAAAGTCTTGAAGCCATCATGATGTAAGGGATGTTGTGATATATCCCTTGAACCAAAAGGACAGGTCAAAAGATGGTGTGATAATGCTCTGTAGCAAAACAGATGGAGATGGTGGGAAGCTGCCGGAACATAGTGTGAGTCCATTTCAACTGGGATGGTAGGTCAGAAGAGCCTGTTTGAGTGGTACACAGGGATCAGAAACCTCAGGTGATGTGTCTCAGATTGAAAGTCTAAAATGGGAAAGTGCTTTTAGCACTTACTTTAAGATCATTGATAAAGCAAAAGAAATTTTCACAGAAGCAGGAATGGAAGAGGTTCTGTGCTCTTAACACAGGGCAGAGGATGCAGTTTACAAATAGGTGACTGCTACATATCATAAAATGGTCCTTCAGAAATGCCAGTGCTACTCTCGTGGGATGGAATGCTCACATCACTATGCTGAAATCTTTGCCATGGGCTGGGAGAGACATTGCTGATCCATTAAATGGGCATTTTAATTTTAATAGGGGGGTTAATTTTAATTAGGTTATCTGAAATGTAATTTGGTGAAACAAAAGCTAGAACCAGATTTTTGATGAAGGTGAAATAATTGCACTATGAGTGCTTTGGATGTAATGGAAGATAGAAGCAATGGATGGAAATATACTGTGATATGAATTCCAGGAATTTGGAGTTACAGCACACTGGATAAACTCTCCCCCTGCCCCAGACAAAAATAATATACTTTTAAAAAGTTGTACAGCGATGGACTTGAACTTACTAAGCATCATACTGGCTGATTTCCTGTGACAGATGCTAGAGAACTGTACATTCTCTCACATTTCAAGGATCAAACAAAAATTCACATGAGGTGGCTTGTATGTTTTAGGGTAAAAAATAGTAAAAACTGAAATTTACCAAGACCCAATATTACTCCAGAGTCTTGCATACATTAGATTCACTCCCACATTCCTACTTACAATATCTAAATGAGCCACTAACAAAAAGACTATTTATCAAACCCATTTCATAGATGAGAAATCTAAGAAATTTGCAATTTTCCCAAGATCACCTGGCTTGTAACTGACAGAGCTGGGACTAGAGCCCTGGTCTAAATTCCTCTAGAGCCCACACTTTTCCATTCCTCACTGCCTGAAGCCAACTTTATGTCTCTTAATTCATTTCTCTTCTCACTTCTCCACAGTATCTCCCGGGAAATAAAAACAACCATCAACCACTCTACTAAACCCAGTAATTATAAGATGAAAATGAGAATTAAACCCCAAATGGAAAGTGTGTGGGTTGAATTTGCCTGGGGTCACCTGTCCCTATACACATGGTTCTTTAGAATCTAGGTGCTGACACACTGGAACAGTCCCAGCACTTCCAAGGTCACACTGCTCTTCCCTTGGGTCTTCCAGGAGAAACCCTCATGTTCACCTCTAAGCCCTGACCTGCTTTCAAACTCATCCCCACTGCCTTTCCTAGGGCTGCACTCCCGTGGAACAGTAAGCCCAGAATCACCTGCTTTTCCCCTGACTTAGAGCATTCCAGCTCCTTGCAGCTGTCCCATCTGTCCCACCCCTGACCACCGAACCCCTCTGATAGCAACTGCCCTGTTGATGTGACTATGGACCTTGGCAGTGAAGCTTAGGCATCTGCTCCTCTGTTCTGGGTACTTCCACCACACTCTCAAAGGTCCAAATCGGCTCACGAGCAGAGTCTGCTTTGGCACAGGAGCTACCGGTTCTTGAAAGGGGACTCTGAATTTGGAGAAGTTTTAGAAAGCAGATGAGACTAGTAACAGAGAATTTAATCTGGTGAAGTATTTGAGATTGGCCACTGACTCCATTGCGCGATCACTAAGCTTGATTAAGTGGCTGGGAACCAAACCCTCCCTCCCAGGTGGTAGATGAAGGACGCAGGAAATCCTGGGTAGCAACTATCTACAGGGGCTGTATCTAACAGCCCCTGAGTCCTCCCAGGAGTTTGTACTAGTACTCTACAGCTGCCATAACAAATTACCACAAATTTAAAACAATGGCATTATTTATCTCACATGCCTGTAAGTGAGAAATTCAAGGTGCTTCTGCTTTCTCTGTTCTGGGTTTCACAAAGCCAGTCTTCCAAGGTCATCAGATTGTGGGCAAAATTTGATTATTTTCTTTTCTTTCCTTTTTCATGCTTGACACACTAGCACGTATTCGCTAAACGTCACCTCTCTATCCTGTTCTCAGACCTATTGAGTGACAGGCTATACCCACCACATGGTGGAATAGGAGGTCCTGATAAAATATCCCCTAAATACAAATGGAGAAAAGCCACATTGCACTTGCAGACAATATCACTAGCTCCATGCTACCAACAAGGAATAGCCATGTACATATCTTGCTCTGAGATCTGTGACTCACTGATGGGGCAGAGCAGCTAACAAGTAAAGGAGCTGAGGTCAGGTTGGTGGCCACAGCAGCCAGCCTAGCAGGCCTGGATCTAGGCAATGACTGGGCCGGGTACACAGACCTTATGTTCAGAAACTCATGCGATAAGAAAGGAATGCAGACCTGGCCTATGAGTGCTGGGACTATTGAATTCAGTGGTGGAATATGTGGGTGCCAGCCACACAGCCAGGGGAGATCCCTCTGCCTTTCCTGTGTGTAATGCTGAGAGAAAGATATAGGCTGTTGTTTTATACCTAGAAGGATCTGCACCCTCTGCCAAAAGCAGCACATGCCATACCCACACCCACACTACCTGTGTCAGGACTGGTACCAAGCAGGGGTGAAGATATTAAAAATAGTAATAAAATAGGGTGATCTCAACAGCAAAATTGATAGAAAAATTATGTAACACATGAAAATATAAGACTTCTAGAGAGTGTAACAGCACAATGTTGAACAGCTCTCCAGAATCCAAACACAAAATGACAGAAGACTATATATATATATATCCCGATCAGAGTTCAGAACTGCTAAAATAAACTCAAGGAGGTAGATTAAAACTCAGAAAGGCAAATCAGAAAAAAACAACAGAATTCTGAAAAGCTACTAAAAGAAATACAACAAAATTCAGGAAAACAAATTAATGAACTCAGAAATAAAGTCAATGACATAAAATTATCATTATTTTCAGATGACATGATTATATATGTGTATAGATATATAATTTAAAGAGTGTACTAAAAACTATTAGAAACAATAAATTAGTACAGTAAAGTGGCAGGCTACAAAATCACTATACAAAAGCCTGTTGCATTCCTATATGCAAATAACAAACTAGAGGAGAAAGAAATGAAGAAAACAATCCCATTTACATTAGCATCAAAAAGTATTAACACATGTAGGAATAAAATTAACAAAAGAGGTAAAAAAAAACTATGAAAATTACCAAGCTATAGCTAAAAAAATAGTAAAAGACCCAAGGAAATAGAAAAGATATTTCATCACAAACTGGAACAATTAATATACTCAAAATGTTCATCTCACCCAAAGCAATTTACAGATTCAGTTCAAACCCTATCAAAATTCCAATGGACTTCCTCAAAGAAATAGAGAAGACATTATTGAAATTGATATGGAACCAAGAAAGACCCTGGATATCCAAAGCAATTTTGACAAAAAAAGAAAAGGAATAGAGGTATCACACCTCTGACTTTGAACTGTATTACCAAACTACTATATAAAGAAGCCACTGTGCAGTCACATTTTTCCGGGGAGAGTGGAAAAACAGAACCTACACTATTAAAAGTGCATTTATACTAGGCTACTTTGAATAAAGATTGGCAAACTCTAAGGGACAGTTTGATTTTTGGTAGGGGTTCAGTGAAATAAATAGGGATGATTTGGATCTAAAGCAAACTGGGAGGGAGATGAGGAATCAGTTTTTAAGACACATTCTAGGACCTTTAAGTTGCACTCAGATGGAGAGAATTCCCCCAACTCCAAATTAAATAATACATATTCTAAGGGGAGTGATTTACTGTTTTTTTTTTTGTTTTTTTTTTAAGCAGGATTTTGGACTAAAATGGTGCTTTATAGCGCTGTATATTCTCAGACAGCCCCAGGATTAAAACAATAAAAACTAATCTGATTGGGAGGGTTAGTATTATATAGTCCAAAAAATCAGCAATAATTATTGTCCTTTAAAGTCTCAACACACACCAGTCATTGTGCCGGGTGTTTTACCGACATGATACACAGTCCAACTGTTCTAGAAGACAGGTTTACCCAACAACTTCATTAATGAAATATCAGAGGCTGTTAGATATTGATAAGGTGCTGAGTTCACAGAACTACTAACAGGACTGGGACTAGAGCCCTGATCTGAATTCCTCCAGAGCCCACAGGGTTCCACTCCTCCCAGCCTGAAACAGACCTTGTGTCTCTTAATTCATTTCAC